GGTTCGATTCTGGCCAAGGGCATGTACCTTGGTTGCGGGCACATCCCCGGTGCGGGGTGTGCAGGAGGCAGCTGATCAATGTTTCTAACTCTCTATCCCTCTCTCTTCCTCTCTGTAAAAAACCAATAAAATATATTAAAAAAAATAAAAATATTGCTGTTTTGAGATGCTACAAACTCTTCTCTAGGCTACTCCTGTGTTGCCTTCCAGCTGAATAATAAATTACTCTTCATTTGGTTTCTAAATATTTCATATCTAAGTATTAAATATGTTGCCTTCGTTTCTATAATGCAAAATAGGTTAAGGAGTAATGTGTTTGGTAACATAAATGAGGCTGTTGTCGGGAAGCAGTGAGGCTGCAGGGGGAGCTTCGGGTTGTGAGGACGATGTAAGCAGAGGGAAGAGCAGCCCCTCCCCTGGGGTCTCCCCGAGGCTCCGCTGGGGAAGAAGGACGACCAGGTAAGAGCGTTTAGTTCACAACTTGCACACGTCATCAAGCCTGTCGTCCCAGGGCACAGAGGCGCAGGAGAAGCGTTCTCGCATAAACGCCTCTTTCGTGTTCATGAAGCGGTTTCTCTCGTCCGGGGCCTCCCTCCTGCCTCGGCCACAGCTCAGCATCAGCTTTTCTGTGTCTCCCAGTGGTACCTCCTGGTCTCAGCTTCAAGTCCATCAGCAAATACAAACGTTTTGGTGTATAGATAAAGTGTATTGTAGAGGTAATAGAGATAGAAGTACTGTACAACTGAGTTTCTAGATTTATTTCCTATTTGTTCATCTTTGGTGTAAAAACTCCTCTTGCTAATGATGCAAAAAATAGTTTAGGCTTAAAAATATATACTAATTCTTTGTTGTTGTCGTCCTGTTTTTTTCTCAACCCCCCGGAAACTTTCCCGTTTGGGCCTGAGTCTCCCTGTGACTTCTGCCCAAATCCCGGTGCGGACAGCGATTCCCTCCAGCGGGCCCGGCACCGGGAGGCCTGCCTCCCACTCCCTCCTGTCCATCTGCGGCGGGCGCGGCTCTCGGGGCGCGCTGAGGCCGCACATGAGCTGCCTCGCTTGCATCCGTGTCGTCACTCTCCTCATCGCTTTCCTGTCGGGAGAGGCTCTTACCTGCGCTGGTTAAGGAGCCAACCAGAGAAAGAATACATACATACACCTTCAGTGTGATACTTTTAGTTAACTTACCTGTTCATTTGCTGGTATTTTGAGGAATGAGCAAGGTCTTTGTGAGTTTATTTCCCTGACTGGCATTCCATGTTGTTATTTACACACACAGTATCTATACTGTATTATCTAGCATCTCCGATTTTACTCTTATTTGGTTTTTTTATTTTTTTAATATATTTTTATTGATTTCAGAGAGCAAGGGAGAGGGAGAGAGAGATAGAAACATCAGTGATGAGAGACTCATTGATCGGCTGCACGCCCCACACTGGGGATCCAGCCCGCAACCTGGGCATGTGCCCTGACACATTTTTTAAAAAATATTTTGTTATTGCCCTAGTTCCGTGGTCGGCAAACTGCGGCTCGTGAGCCACATGAGACTCTTTGGCCCCTTGAGTGTGGCTCTTCCTAAGCCTTAGGAGTACCCTAATTAAGTTAATAACAATATACCTACCTATATAGTTTAAGTTTAAAAAATTTGGCTCTCAAAAGAAATTTCAATCATGGTACTGTTGATATTTGGCTCTGTTGACTAATGAGTTTGCCGACCACTGCCCTAGTTGGTTTGGCTCAGTGGATAGAGAGTTGGCCTGTGGACTGAAGAGTCCCAGGTTCAATTCCGGTCAAGGGCACATGCCTGGGTTGCAGGCTTGATCCCCAGTAGGGGGTGTGCAGGAGGCAGCTGATCAATGATTTTCTCTGATCATTGATGTTTCTATCTCTCTCCCTCTCCCTCCCTCTCTAAAATCAATAAAAATATATTTTAAAAAAATTATATATATATATTTTATTGATTTCATGTCAACGTTCAACCACTGAGCCATGCAGGCTGGGCCTCTTAATTTGTGTTTGGTTTTTTTAAATATAAGTTGAATCAGATAAATCTACAACTCTTAAGACTTGTACAGAAATGTACTTGAAGCCCTAGCTGGTTTGGCCCGATGGATAGAGCACTGGTCTGCAGACTGCAGGATCTCAGGTTCGATTCGGGCAAGGGCATGTTGCAGGGCAGGTGCAGGAGGCAACCAGTCAATACGTCTCTCACATCAGTGTCTCTCTCTATATAAAAAATCAATGTGAGGATTTAAAAACAACAAAAAAAGCATTTAAAAAATAAAAAAATGTACTTGAAGTACATAAGGTAAGCGAATTTCAAAAATGCTGTATTGGCAAAATATATATAGAAATTCACAGTTTCTTTTATTTTTGTAACTTTTTAGTATAGTGGGTTAGTTAAGGTACTTCTAAATGAATGAAAGAATAAGTTACAGTTAACAGTCACCCCGATAAACCACTGAGGAGGTGAGAAAGTGCGACTTTTGACTGGTGAAACATCTCCTGTAGGTCAGATGGTTTCCAGGTTTTGCTCTCAGTAAATTGAAGGAGGACCTGGTACAGTTGCAGATGCTATGTCATTAAAAACATTTTTGGTGCTAGATCAGCTGGTGATTTTAGGTATGTAACTTGGAAGATGTTTAAATAATTAAATGAACTTTCTATAACAAAGTTTCTTTTATTTTCATCAGCATCTTTATGTGACTAAGGTTAATTAGTGCTTATATCTATGAAAATGAAAAATAGGACTAGAGCTGATATTGAATCCAGTCTTATTCTAGCCATACACACACACACACACAGAGACACACACACACACACACACACACACACACACACACACACACACACATAAAGCCAGCAACCGGAATGCCATAACGACCAGAACGACCAGTCACTATGACGCCCACTACTGTCAGCAAATAAGCCCGATCCAGGGTTGGGGCTGGCGGCCAACCTCCCACAGCCCCTTCCCCTGGCCATCCCTGCCCCTGATCAGCCTTTCCTACCCCAATTGAGGGAAGGGCAGCTGGCCAACCCCCTGCAGGCCCTTCCCCTGGCCAGCCCTGCCCCTGATGGGCCCCCACCACCCCAATAGGGGGTGGAGCTGGATGGCTAACCTCCTGCAGCCTCTCCTCCTGCCCAGCCCCACCCCAGATTGACCCCCCTACCCCTATCAGGGGCAGGGCCACTGGCCAGCCGCCTGCAGCTCCTCCCCTGGGCCAGCCCCACTCCTGATGGGCCCCCCCCCCCACCCTGATCAGCCTGTGGCCCCTCCCCCTAGTCAGCTCCACCCCCAATTGACCCCCCCACTCTGATCAGGGGCAGGACCAGTGGCCAATCACCCATGGCCCCTCCCCTAGGCCTCTGGCCCCTGATTGGCCCCCACCCCATTCAGGGGCAGGACCTGCTGGCCAATTGCCCTCAGCCCCTCCCCCCAGCTGGCCCAGCCCTGATTCAGCTGGACACCCCACCTGTGCACAAATTCATACACTGTGCCACTAATCTTACCTAATAATAGACAAACATGTAAATTGACCAGACCTTCACTACGCTAACCAGCCAATCAGGAGAGTATGCAAATTAACCTAACAACGATGGTGGTTAATTTGCATATGTGGGCTCCAAGCAGTGGAGCGAAGCCTGACAGCCCTGGGGCCATGAGGCTTTGCTGCACCGCTGGCCCCGGGGCCGGCTCCGGCTGGAGCCCGGCCAGAGCGAAGGCCTGGGTGCCGGGTGCCGGAGGAAAACCGGTGCCAGTAGCCGGGGAAAGGAAGGGCTATTGCACGAATCTCTTTGTGCAACAGGCCTCTAGTATGTAAATAATGTTCATTGTGCTACATGAGTAATTTGGAAGAAAATAATGTTTTATTCATCTCATGAAATACAGTTCCTATAGAAGTTTGCTTTTGTATCAGTCATTATTTACTAAATCTTGTCTATTCATTTCAATCAATTATGTAATACTAATTAAAATGATAGAAATTTCTAATGCTTAGAGTTTTATGATCACAGAAGATAAAACATTTCCATTTATTTTTCTTGGTTGCAAGAAGTATAAAAGAATTTCAAGCATGTGACTATGTTTCATTAAGATAAATATATGTGGCCCTCGCCGGTTTGCTCAATGTTTAGAGCATTGGCCCAGGGACTGAGGGTCTCGGGTTTGATTCTGGGTCAAGAGCACATACATACCTGGGTTGCCGGTTTGATTTTGGCCCTGTGGGAGTGAGGGCAGGAGGCAACCAATTGATGTATCTCTCTCACATCTGTTTCTCTCTTTCTCTCTCTCTCTCTCTCTCTCTCTCTCTCTCTCACCCCTTCCTCCCTACCTTCCACTCTCTCTAAAAATCAGTGGAAAAAATATCCTCGGGTGAGGATTAATTAACAACAACAACAACAAAAAATAAATATATATAATGGAAATGCAATGAAAATAAGAGTTCAAGGAGAAAAAGGAATAATGCAAAATTTCCAACTGTTAAAGAAGGATTGATTTCTCCATTTTTTAAGTCAATGATTGTGTATATGAAGTTCTGGTATTTAGATTTATTAGGTTTAATTAAAGAGTGACAATTTTATTTTAAAATGATAATCTTTAAAACTTCTAATAACAACTTTCTTTGTAACTATTTAAAGTTGTGATGAAAACTCTAAAAGGCAACTTAAAAATGTATGGGAAGTGGGGGTGCATAGTTTTTTTCAGAATTACTTTAGTGGGAACATGAACAAAAAGTTTTGAAGACTTCTATTGTGTGAGAGATCTGCTTGTTTAAAATGCACCTGTGGCCCTAGCTGGTTTGCTCAGTGGATAGAGCATCGGCCTGCAGACTGAAGGGTCCTGGGTTTGATTCCAGTCAAGGGCACATGCCCGGGGTTGTGGGCTCATTCCCCAATAGGGAGTGTGCAGGAGGCAGCTGATCAATGATACTCTCTCATCATTGATGTCTCTCTCCCTCTCGCCTCTCCCTTACTCTCTGAAATCAATAAAAATGTATTTTAGTGCCCGCTTCGGCAGCACATAGACTAAAATTGGAACGATACAGAGATTAGCGTGGCCCCTGCGCAAGGATGACATGAAAATTCCTGAAGTGTTCCATATTTTTTTTTTAAAGTATTTTAAAATAATAAATAAATAAATAAAATGCACCTGTGGACCTAACTTTATGCAAACTTGTAATCAAACCTTTGTAACCTGACTTCCTCAGGTCTCAGGTCTCAGGAAAGGCTAAGAAGCGCCTGATTTGAAGGGTAGCTCTGATAGGGAGGGTGAAAAAAACTAACTTTAAGAAAAAATTAAAAAGTGGGTATATTTATTTATTTTTGGATTTTATTTTTTTCTTTTTATATTGAATTTATTGGGGTGACACTGGTTAAATTTCACAACCCCAGGTCAAGTCTCCAGCCATCACCATTTATCCCACCTAGACCCTCCACCTCCCACCATTTATCCCACCTAAACCCTTTCTCCCTGCAGTCACTAGCATTTTTAAAAATTTGTTATTTATTTAATATATATTTCTATTGATTTCAGAGAGGAAGGGAGAGGGAGAGATAGAAACATCAATGATGAGAGAGAATCACCGATTGGCTGCCTCTCGCGTGCCCCGGGGCAGAGGGATGGTGGGGTGGCGGAATGAAGCCTAAAACCCTGGCATTTGCTTTGACCAGGAATTGAACCACGACCTCCTGGTTCATGGGTCAATACTGAACCACTAAACCACACCAACCAGGCCCTAGCAGGGTTTTTCAAACTACCGGTCAAAACCCATTAGTGGGTTGCCAACACATTTTTTTAAAATAATTTTTTATTGATTTCAGAGAGGAAGGAAGAGGGAGAGAGAGAAACATCAATGAGAGAATCACTGATCAGCTGCCTCCTGTACGCCCCCCACTGAGGATCATGCACACATCCCAGGCATGTGCTCTGACCGGGAATCGAACCATGATCTCCTGGTTCAGAGGTCAAAGCTCAACGACTGAGCCACGCCAGCAGGGGTGCTAACACATTTTTTAAATTAATTAGAATAGACTAGACTATGTCAGAGTGAAACACAAACCTTTTAAGTTGTATCTGTTGTATATTTTCATGTGTGAATGTATACTAGATTGCAATATAAAATACATTGCTTGCTTTCAAATAGCTCAAAAGCTATTCACTTAGCCCTGGCTGGGTAGTTCAGCTGGTTAGAACATCGCCCCGATACACCAAGGTTGCGGGTTCGATTCCTGGTCAGGGCACAAACAAGAATCAGCCAATGAATGCATAAATAAGTGGAACAACAAATCTCTCTCTGTCTCCCCCTTCCTCCTTTTCTAAAATTAATCAATAAGTAAAAAGTTTCTTTTTAAAAGGCTACTGACCTAGAGTGCTGGTTGAAAATACAGATTGCTAGTTGACTCACCCAAGTGATTATTATCAGAAAGTTTGGGGAAGTATTGCTTTAAAAAGATGTAAACCCTGAACTTTCGGAAAAGCTTGCTTTCTCGCCATAGTAGCAAATTCCCCAAAGGTTTCATCGATTCCATCATCTTTTTTATTCATCTAAAAAGCTATTTGGAGAAAACACATAAGACGTGATCTATGGAATTCAGATAATAGACTAAACATGTTTTGAGAGTTTTGCTTATACAATTTTTAAAACTTTTTATGTTAATAAATGATATTTGCTCATTAGATGACTATTGTAGTTGAGTGGTACATGCAAATATGTGAGTCATTTCAATCTTTCCTCAAATTTAAAAACACTGGAATTTGCCCTGGCCCGTGTGGATCAGTGCTTGGCCCAGGCACCAAAGGGCTTGGGCTCAATTTCCCGTCATGGGTGTGTGCCTGGGTTGCAGGTTCATTCCCTGCCCAGGTTCCTGGCCTCCTGGTTGGGTGTGTTCAGAAGGCAACCAAGCGATGTCTCTCTCTCTCTCTCTCTCTCTGCCCCCCTCACCCCCGCCCATTCTCTAAAAAGAAAAAATAAATCAATAGAGAGAATATCTTTGGGTGAGGATTAACAATAACAACAACAACAAAAAAAAAACACACTGGAATTTTCTGACATTAGTGCAAGGTTTTTGCCTTTCCAGTCTCAGTGTCTACATGTACCAAGTGTTCAATAAACATGTGGAATGTCTGGAGACAGGAAGTAAGTTTTGGGGCATACTGTAACATATCTGTGAAATGTTTCGTTACTAAGGACGTGCTTGATCTTAAATTTCTTCTAGGCGCTGTCTGAAAGCGTCACATCTATCCAGGGAGGTTGTGTGGGGAAAGATGGCTATGACGAAATCGTAGTATCCACATATTCAGGTAAGGTGAAGGGTAGTAGGCAGTTGAAGGAAGAATGGACAATAAAAATATAAATTTAATAAATTGCTTTTGACACCTGTTTTTTAATGTGTTATTAGTAAGTCCCTCTTTTTAACATTTTTAAAATTTTTCATTTTCATTTAGTTATTTTTTACGTTTTTTTATTGAATTTATTGAGGTGACATTGGTTAATAAGATTATATAGGTTTTGGGTGTACAATTCTATAATATTAGTATATCATCTGTGCATTGTACTGTGTGTTCTTTATCCCAAATAGTAAGTCACTCTTATTTATAGATTTAAAAAAATTATTGGTTAAAAAATAAGGGTATATTGATTTATAAAACAGTTAATATTTAAATAATACTTTTTAAGCCTGGCCAGTGTGGCTCAGTGTCTGAGTATTGAGCTATGAATCAGGAGATCACTGTTTGATTCCCAGTCAAGGCACATGCCTGGGTTGTGGGCTTGATCTCCAGCGTGGGGCGTGCAGGAGGCAGCCAATCAGCGATTCTCATCATTGATATTTCTGTCTCTCTCCCCATCTCCCATACTCTCTAAAATCAATAAAAATATTTTTAAAAATGTTTGGTCTATCACTAGTATCTTTGAAAGTTAAATAATATTCTTTGGTTTAAAAAGAAATTTAGTGTATGTTTTATTATTTAATATACATTAATATAAGATACACATTTGTTATAAAATCTTGCTTGCTTTTAACTAGATCATTTTTACATTCTCACAATGTTATACAAGAGTTTAACAACATGAAAATAATTTTTTAAAAACGATTCTATTTTTGCATTTGTTAGAATGTGTTGACTTATTTCATACTCGAACCTAAAACTGTAAATTAAATGAAAGATCTCCTTAATCATAGTTTGATAGTATTTCAGGCAAAGCAAAAATGGTATCACAAAATGCTTATGTAATTTCCTTGTGGTTTGAATATTTTCCAGCTTCATTCCTTTTAGTTCTTGTTCTGTTTGGGGTTTGGAGGGGAGTGTGTGCTGGAGTGAGGCTGATGCTGGTGGAGGGGCAGTGGGCTGGGTTTCCGTAGCCGTCAGCGCTCACGGTGCGGGTTGCATCCCTCCCGCAGGCTGGGTGACCGGGCTGACCACGGAGCCAGTGCACAAGGAGGGCGGGCCCGGCGAGGAGCTCCGGCTCAACCAGGAGACGCAGCACAAACTCGCCTGCCTGCGGTAACGTTGCATTCGTTTGCCTGTCAGTCTTCATCTCATGACGTGCGCAGTGGTTGCTGTTTTGGTTACTGATAGATGCAGTGTATTATATTGGAAGGCATTACACAGTCATTTATCACTTTTTAAATGAAAGCTTATCAGTTTGAGAAAATCAGCGGTAAATGCTGATGAATATTTTGGAGTGAGAAATATTTGGAGTGTGCTGTACTGTGTATTGGCTGCTTCTTAGACGGAGAAGAATATCGTTTTTATGTTTTGCTTCTTACGGGCATGAAAGCAGCTCTCACCCATGGCTCTGCTCTCACTCATTCTAATGCTCACTGCTCCTGCGGGCCTCTCTGAAACTCTGACTCTGGCTTATACGTTTTCTTTTTTTAAAAATATTTTATTGATTTTTTACAGAGAGGAAGGGAGAGGGATAGAGAGTTAGAAACATTGATGAGAGAGAAACATCGATCAGCCGCCTCCTGCACACCTCCTACTGGGGATGTGCCCGCAACCAAGGTACATGCCCTTGACCGGAATCGAACCCGGGACCCTTCAGTCCGCAGGCCGACGCTCTGTCCACTGAGCCAAACCGGTCAGGGCTGGCTTATGCATTTTCTTAGTGGAAATGAATAATGTTGACTTCCTTAGACCCAGGGGCTGCTTTGTAACCAGTTCCTTTGAAGAGGCGGGAGGGGCTGAAACTTAGTGACTGCTCTTCCTGCTCCCACCCTTGCCATCTTGGGGGGAGTGAGGGCCAGTATTTGTTGGCTGGCAGTTGAGAGTTCAGAAGTGTCTGGTCCCCTAAGGCCACACCACAGTTCTCACGCCCGTGCACCAAAGCCGCCAGGACAGCAGCTGTGCTGTGCGGGCAGCGGGCGAGCAAGCAGAGCTCATGACCAGCTCCCGCGCTCCCCGTGCCGTATGTTTACAGCCAGGCTGCCCCTCCTGACAGCACGGGGCGCCCTGCCCGCTCCGCTCACTCAGCACCTGGGACGTGGGTGCGCGCGGCACACTCAGCAGCCGCCTTTCCCTTGGCTCACTGCGCAGGTGCCCTCCTGCTCCCCCCAGATTTCCGCCGGAGCTGGGTGGCTAAGCCCGTGTTCAGCCCCCCGTGACTGTGCTCTATTTGCGTATGGCCTTTCCCGGTAACGGGAGCCTCTGCCTGCCCTGCCCGTGCAGCTCAGTCCCCGCACCCTCCCCAGCACCGGGCCTGGTGTCTGCTGCTCCACGCCTCACGGTCACCCCGTGGGCCCAGGTGTGAGAGCTCTGCAGCCTCCTCCTCTGTGTCTGTCTCCCTCACGTCTTACCGAAAGGTGCGTGTTCACTGGTTTCTTCTGCTCAGGGCTGAGGTGTTCCTGCGCCCGGACAGGCAGGCTCTCCTCCGCGCGGTGCGTAGGTACCGTGACCAGGTCGGCGTGTGAGCGTGGGCGTCTGCGGCTGCCTCGACACTGACAGCTTTGTATTAATCCGGCTCGTGTGGGACTGAGTAGATGTTTTGATTTTTAGATTAGAGATAAATAATATGGAACCGTTAAGTGAGTCCTCTAAGCAAAAATTCTGTTCCTATTAGTGTTACAGTCTAGCTCAACCCAAAAAATCCATTCGCTGCCCCGG